TCCATCGGCCGCGTGCGCCGCCTGAGAGACGCCGCCGCTGAGGGAGGTACCTGCAGTGGGCGAGTTGTGGTTAGTCCTGCAGAGCTGCCGCCAAAACGCACCCCGGCACGTCGGCACCCAAGGATTTAAAAACACAAAAACAAAGCAAAAAAACCAACCTGAGTGGGGTATCACAGCTGTGGCACATCTGGCTGAGGAGAGTCCGCTGAAACGGGCTGCCGTGATCGGCAACAGGCTCCATGATCAGCAAGGCTGTGCTCCAGCACAACGGGCTCCGGGATCCGCAAGGCTGTGCTCCAGCACAACGGGCTCCATGATCAGCAAGGCTGTGCTCCAGCACAACGGGCTCCGGGATCCGCAAGGCTGTGCTCCAGCACAACGGGCTCCATGATCGGCAAGGCTGTGCTCCAGCACAACGGGCTCCGGGATCCGCAAGGCTGTGCTCCAGCACAATGGGCTCCGGGATCGGCAAGGCTGTGCTCCAGCACAACGGGCTCCATGGCTCTCCACACACCCTTCTAAACCAGGTATTGATCCAAGAACATGTTGGTGCTCACTGTAAGCACTGCCGAAACACACACCCTCCTCCTCCTCCTCCTCAGAAGCCAGGAGAGGGGCCTCATTTTTATCATCACCTCTCTGATTTACTGCCCAAAATAGGTATCTTTGAGGCACAGTAAGCCTAATTCCTGCCTTCCTCTGCTCCCCTGAGCTTCCAGGTGTGCTGAATTCTCCACCGAAAAGCGCTCCGCAGGTCAGACAGATGGGTGTCAATAGATTGTGGTGTCTTTCACAATGGAGAATGGCTGGGAAGGCCTCGCCAGATTTAAACTCTACATTTGTGCAAATATACAAAAGGCACTGCATTTAAAATAACTGGTTTCAGTCCGTGCTTCACAGGTCTAGGGAAGAAAAAAACCCGAGTGTTTAAATGCGTTATTCAGGGATCCATGCTGTAGCTGTACAGCTCTCAAGAGCTGAAAAAAAAAAAATTAACTGAACATAAAGGCCTGCTCTGCAACTTCATAAGCCTCAGAAATTTCTGCTTCCCCATCTGATCACAAAAGCAGACTGATTCCTATTCCTATGCTCTGTTGCATGGCAGCCTGCAAAATGAATCCCTAACACTCATCTCAGGAGAGTAAACCAGACTACTGCACTTTTATGGCATTTACCATGTGCATGGTCCAAGCATCAATGATGATGGTCCAGGTATGGCAGCAGGTCACTGTAATGCTTGTGCAGCATAGTTGAGGAAGCATCTGCCTATGTTTAAAGTGATCAAACTTGGGAGAAAACTGCTTGGTTTTTAAAATACAAATGGCATGGTTCCCAAGGTTAGAGCACAGTTAACTCTTGGTCACTGAAGAATCAATGCAGCAGCAGGTCTTGTCAAGAGAAATGCAATTGTAGAATAACAGATGTAAACTTTGAAAATTAACCTGCTTTAAAAAAACATAAATCTTCCTAGCGCTAGTATTTCCATTCTGCCAAAGCTGACATACTGTTTTTGTTCTGAAAAAGAACCCTGTTGAACAATATTTATTATTTTTTTTAGGATTTTACCTGAAAGCCACAGCAGGGCAGATTTACTGTGCATAAGATAAGAGTTTATAGTTTGTCACACCTCACAGAGCTCACCACTGCAGTGTAAATAAACCCATCTATTCCTTTCCACAATCCTCATTTTACTAGCCCACCTTCCCACCCACACATTTACAAGCAGTACCCTCTACTCATCTGAGTAAAGCTTAGACTAAAAGCCATCAGAGCCCTGTAGACCTTCACCTATAATGACTCTTCCAGACTGCCTGGCTGCAGTCCCAAATTCTGAGGAATACCTACATTTTCAAATGAGACATAGGTGACCAGCGTAACTTTTTCTAACACAGAAAAACTGTGTTTGTTTTATAGTTTTCTTAGAAAAAGGAAACATTTCAAGTTCTGTTAAGATAGGCAGCTGAAGGCAAAAGGACATTTCAAGGCACAGAGTATCTTATAACCTACATTCACCAGCCATTTTAAGGATCTTGAAGAACATTCAACTTGTATAAAAGCATCAGTGAATAAAACCCAAGATTGGGAGCACAAGCAGCTGCCTGGCCCAGTAAGAGCATTTTGTACCAACTCCAGCTTTATGCAAACCACCACAGCTAACAGTTATGGTCATAAATCTTAGTTAACCACCACCATCAAAACCAGCCCTCAGGAACTCCCAGATGTTTCCTGGAAACGTATCTGCATAAAAGCAGGCTAAAACATATTGTTTAAGGGCAGTCCATAAGCCATAAAGTCTTAAAGATTGCTTGTCCCCGAACATTTTGAGTGGTTCCCTCACTTATCATAGAAAGGATGCACAATACAAGACTTGGAAGACTGTAGAAGGTGCATCCACTCACACACACAGAAGTGGGATTTAGGAGGAGGAAGGAAAGGAGAGTACTGGGATTACAAAGAGTCACAGTGCTTAACATGACATCTCCGAGATCTTCTGGACTTACTGCAGGAACCCATCTGCATAACCTCCAGGGAGGCAAAAAACCTCTCCTGTTTGCTCAGTAGCAGGTCTTGCTCCATCAGAAAAGACGAGGGAAGAACGGAAGGCTAGACTGGGCGAGGGAAGTGTCTGTTCTTTTTTGCAGAGGGCCTCAGTATGGCTGCTGGGCTGTCTTGTTTGAGTCAGGCCACTGTGAAGGGGCATCCTGCTGATCAATTGGCTCATAGGTACTGCGATCCCGGCCTGCACGGGCGACACCTGAATGGAGAGGGAAGAGAACAAGCTTAGGTAAAAACCAAAAGCACAAAAACTAACACAGTTATAAGAAACCAACAGCTCAGGAGCACACGACATTAGCTGCTCTCCAGCTCCCCAGCACCTGTGTTCTGTGATCCTCACAGGAGGTAAGGAAACTCAACCTTCCAACACAGGCAAAATAACCCAGATGCATTTGAACATGCCTCTTCATTCCCTAAGAACAGCTGTCTTAGTAGACACAGGGCTGTGTGGAAAGCAAGACCTGCAATACTACACAGCAGCACAACAGGCTCCTCTAATAGCATATTTCAGCAAGATCAAGTTTACGAGATCTAGTGGGAAAACGAACAGACAAAACCAGAAGCAGCAGGAACCATGGCTAGCTGACAGCATAGATTTAAGAACGTGGTTCATCCATGAACCACTCTTCCCAGCAACGCAGCTACGCCTCAAGTGTGCCACACCAATGGCACTCAATTTGAATCCAGCAGTGCTCCCAATTGCACTATGAACAATTTGCCTGTGGGACAAGACTGGTACAAAAACATGTTACTGTCCAGTGGATGAGCAGGGAAAGAAGAGAGACAAATAGAGAACATGAATAGACAGCTCTTTATATAGAGGCCAGGCATCTGCCATGGCTAGAAAGCAATCTGAATCAAAGGTGGGCACTAAACCATACAAGAGGCTTGTTCTAAGCAGCAAAGATGCTGCTAAGCAACAAAAAACGATTTTGTATGGAAAGAAAATGAGACAGAGAAGACCAGGAAAAATGAAACACTGTTAGGTTTGAAAGGAACATGCCAGATAGCAGGAAAATGAGAGAGGAAATTGGTCAACCACATTCAACACAAAAGAACACCACGCAGTTTGTGTTTGTGAGAAAGACAGTTCAGGAGAGGACATGAAACTACAAAGTATCTGAATTCCAATCTGTGCCTGAGAGGAGACTCTCAGACAGCAGCATGCCTGTATTGGGATAGTGTGGTTGAAAAGGAGTGCTCCCAAATTCCAAACAAAGGGATGAACTCCTCAACGATACCTACACTTCCCATGGGATACGAATGTCAAATCCCAGTTACAGGCACAGTGAGGAGCTAATAAAAGCTGGCACAAACATGACCCACAGTACGGCACTGCAGTTGACTCACAGGCCTTCTGACCCGGTTAAGACAGATCTGTCTGGCATTTTCACAAGTAGCTGATGGAGAAGGCATCCACGTTCCCATAGCAGAGAGATGCAAATAGCACATATCGCCCCAAGCCATGGTTTCTTTCCGTGGCCTCTCCTCCTCTGCAGGCATCCACCTCTTTTCATAGGAAGCGTCATCTTCTTTACTAGCATCAAAGCAGCACAAGTGACAGCTTTCAAACTCTGTAAAGCAGTTATACCATCCTTTGTCCTGCACAGCCTTCTTAGAAAGGCAAAAAGAAAACTGTGCCAGGCTGCTGGTTTTGCCAGGGTGAGCTCCCACACAGCAAACAATTCCTAGCAGCTGCCCTGGCATGATCTAGCACCAGGCATGCTTGGCAAAGTTGACTGAGACCCAGAACATAGAATCACAGAATGGTTTGGGTTGGAAGGGACCTCAAAGATCATCTAGTTCCAATCCCCTGTCCAGCCGCAGCCCCTTCTCTCCGGCAAGGCTGCCACACTACCATTAACCAGTACACCCAGGAGAAAAATGAGTGCCTCCAGGCAAAGTCCCACAAGGTAAACATCAGTCCCGTTTTCCAGATGAGGAAATGGAAGACCAAAGCAATCAAGGTAGCTAGAACATGGGAGGCCCAGAGGAAGCATGGAGTTAGAAATCCAGCTTCTTTCCCTCTCATGCATAATCCAGCTAGAGGGGATGCTGCCTCTACTTTCTCCCAGAAGGAGAAGAAAGGGTTGGCAAAGAGAGAGGGACACCCAAATGCTTCCAACAAGCACACAAATGCAGGAGGAGAACGCAAGAGGAAAAGCCACTCAGTTATACTGACTAAGAGAGACAGCAGTGGTATCAATACCATTGTGGGCAAAATGTCTGTCAGATGAGGACTCTAGGTCTGCAAGGGAAGAGAGGAAGAATAGAGATTTAAGGCATCAGACACACCAGAACCACAAAATGAGACAACAGACATAAGAAAAAGAGAGAGAGCACTCCCCCTCCCTGGAACAGGGAACAGAATCCAGCTGCACAGAGCTCAGGATGAAGGGTCCAAAGTGCAAGCAGCCTCCCTAACACCCGAGGAGGTGGCCCACACCGACATGGAGGCAGAGGAAGCATCCTACCTATGTTAAAGGTGTACTCTCCTCCACGCTCTCGATACATTCGATACACCAAATAGCAGGACACGGGTTTGAGGAGGAGGCTGAAGATGGCCATGCCCATACTGAAACGCTTCACATCAGTGAGATGGTTGTTTGGAGGGTAGAAGACAGAGATGTGAATGATGTCTGTGAGGACTGTGAGCAGCAGGCCAGTCAGGAACTGGAAACAAAGAGAGAATGGGACATGAACTGAATAGGAGATTAATCACTAGGAGTAACAGTCAGTTACAGTGTCTATTTTCTGCAAGATCTGTGTTCACACAACCATGTCTTCACCCCAGCATCACATATTGCTAATCCTTGACACTGCCCCAGGTAGAGAGAGATTCCTGAATGAATGATCTTGTATTTCGTGCGTTTTCTTCACATCTCTCAGACATCTTCTTATGATATGCCTCAGGACTGTTTATTTTTGCTTGCCAATCTCTTTAATGTTCAGAGAAGGGTTTTATAAAGCCCCTCCAACTCGAGCATATTAAATGCTTTGAGTCCTCCCCTGGCATAACAAGTCACAACAGCAGGTAAAAAAAGAAAGAATCAAGTGTGCCTCACTTCTGAGAAGCAAAATGGATAGTGAAGATAGTAAAAAAGTGACAGTGAAGGCTTCTCACCATAGTTTACAGTGCTTATAGAGTTATATATTCTCTTAAAAAACCCAAACAGGGAATTTGACTTGTTCACTGCTGTATTGGGAACAGCTGAAAATCTTTGCTGACTCAAAGCAGCTGTCTGCCCTCCACCCTCTCCCTGAATACCCTCACACTCACCATCATGATGGCATCAAGGGAATCTCGCTGCACAATGGCCCAGATCCCCACTGCAAGGACAGTGAAATTTCCCCAGGCATAGGAGGCTGGAAACGTGTAATTCATGCAGCCCCTGCCAAACAAGACAAAAAACCCACCCACATTCACAATAAGCCTGCAACAGTTTGTTTGCATTCATCCCTGTTCCCATACAAACATCTCACTCTTGGATTTAGGATCTTCTTGCACACAGGCACAAACAGGGAGTGCTGATTCCCTGATAACATCCCATTCCTACTTTGAAGGAATAACCTCTTCTCACCCAGGCCAGGCACCAATCACTCACCACATTGTGAGCAGCCAGTGTACCAGAATGATGGCCTATGAAAAAAAAAAAAACAGAGAGGAAGATTGGTCAGTAAGCTGGGAGAACTGTGGGAGGATCAACATGATATGACACCTTCTTGTTTCCGAGGGATGGGTGGAAGAGTGCCCTGGATCCACGAGCCAGTGCAGAAAGCTGGTGTAGCAACTGGGACAGTGAAGACACAACCATTTTTCTCTGCTTCTCTTGCTGAGAATTTCCTGTGGTGCTACACTGTAGTCATTCATTATTGTTGTCATCTCTGTCCACAGTTGATTCAGGGCTCACTTAGTCCTTTCTAAATGGGTTATTGATTTTGGAACTCCAGAGGAGTTTGTACAGAACGCTGGGCAATCTGATTCACACTATGCTAGCACGGTTTATACATGACCAATCTGGCATCCCATCACCAAGAAGCCCAGGGATGACAGTCATGCTTGCAGCTCCCAGCAATTTCACTCCAGTCCTCAGTAAATCCTCTGTTTACCTCCTTCCAGTCTGTTCAGAGCTGTGGTTCAACCTCACTGCAGTATTAACAGACCTGAAGGCATCTTTTGGAAATAACCCTGCCGTATGACACAGCTCCTTTCGCTCTCGGCAAAGCCACCAGGGCCCAAATGCCAGCAGTGCCCTAAGCAGCAGTAAGATAATGCTGTCACAGGTTCTGTACTTTGCAAATGTCCTTAATGATCCTGCTCCTTGTGCTCAAGGGGACAGATCCAAGAAGAAAGCATCCTACTGTAACAAGGGACACAAGGATTCTCTTCACCAGCACTTGACATTTCTGTAACCAAGGAGACATACTCGACATGTTCATTAAGGCAGCAAACAGGAACAATATACCGCTTCAGCCTTTTTCTGTACCTATATCCAGGTGCTCCCTCACTTTTGAGCCTGCTGGCCAATCTCAACAAATGGATATCACTCTTATTCACTCTCTAAACATTTGTGAAAATAAGATTAGGGAAGACAGACTCTATTAGCAGCCTCGTAAAAGAAAGGCTGAAGCCTGGACATATCAGAGGATCCAGGGGAAAGAGGCACTCTTCCATTTTTTCTAGCTGTGAGAAAGGCTCCAATTGGCATTTAAACTGACCTCGGTATAAAAAAAAACGCCCCTC